AAATATTCGATCTTATCCACACCTACCACCCCACCTACCACTCTTGTCTCTTTCCCAAAATATCCCAAAATATCTCAGAGATTTGTCTTTATTTAAAAAGGTGACACCAAGGATGATCGATCACTGCAGCATTCGATAGATCTCACCAATGTTCGATCGATCTCAACACAGTTCAATCGATCAAACCTCCTCAAGTCCGAATTAAAACAAAGTCCAACTTATTAAAAGTTGGCTCATGGTGTAATCATTGCAAGGACCCTAGTGCACCAATCCAGACCATTGGGTGTGACACTTGAGCCTCTTATATAAGGATTTTGAGCCATTTTTACACATACTTTGGAAGATTGAACATATCTTCAATACACATATCATATCTCATATCTTGGAGAGGAGGTTAGAGACTATAGAGCTTTTACACATCTTTGGGAGTTCTTCCATTCTTCTAGGGTTTCCATCAAGAAGGAAGTCATGCCTACCATGGAGATAGCCCTTGAGGGTTGGATGACTACTTCAATGAGTAGCTACACATCTACTTGGGGCTAGAGTAGCCCCTAAGTTTGCTTCCTAGACCTAGTGTTCTGTATATTTTTGGGGATTTGCTTGTAAAAAAGTTTTGATCTTGGATTTATATACATATCTTATGGTTTCTACTTGATGTGTATGGATTAATGCTTTCAATTGATTATCTACTTCTAACCATATGTCTATATATGCTAGAATGGATGATTCATGTGTTTTTTTCTAGATTTAATGGAGTTTATGCATGTCTATGTGTATGGATGAAGTTAATCTAGAGATGATCAAAACATAGTGCTTAATTGAACACTCTTGTAATTTATTTAATAGTTCATACTTGTTTCTTGATGGATTGTGCCACACCTCTAGCTTACTTAGTTTAATTTCCATGTCTCTAGTGTAGATGTAGTGTAATTGCTTTAGATTCATAGATAGGTGGACAATCTCTTCTTGTTCCTTGGTGTTCCATACTTATGAATGCAAGTGGTGTATGCTTTTAAATAGTTGTGTATGCATAAATTGTAGTTTCATTGAATTAATTTTGGTCTCATTTGATAGTTTATGCTTTCCATTTGAATTGGCTAGACAATCTATATTTATTTGTCATCCATGCCTAGTTTTAATTAATGTCACACACACACACACAAGTTACAATTCAATTTCCCCCATTGATATACAATTGCTAGTGTCTAGTGAAGTCAAGCTTAGTGGTGAGCTCTAGTACCCCAAATCCTCTTACCTACATTCTTAATTGTTACCTTTTTACTTGCTTTAATTACAATTGCATTGTAGCTTAATCAACCAAATAAGTCATCCTTTGATCACTTGACCTACTAACCTTATACGTTGTTTCCATTACAAGCATGCCTACAATCCCTTAGGACGATCCCTACTCACCCTAACTATATTTTTAGTTAGAGGTAGTAGTGGCTTTTATAAATTTAAAACTTGGCCACATTGCACACTCACACTCTTAGTGCATCTTTAAACGTTGGTGCCCGCGATACACACCAGTCAAACAGATGATTTGAGTTGATCTCAGAGGTCGTGATGCGAAGTGTTACGATGTGACAAAAGTGAAAACTGTTCTTTGTTCTCATTATCTAAAAACTGTTCTTGAAAATAATTTTGAAAGTTTCAAACCAAGCAAGGCCTTATGTATTTTGAAACTCTTTCATAATAGAATTTAGTGTTCCTAATTTATATTGAACACTAACAAAATATAAAAAGCAAGTGTATCTTTGTTGAAACAACATTTATTAATTTATTGAGATCAATTGTGGATCTTTGATAGAATATTTAAAAGGATGAGACATTTATTGATTTTTCATATTTCTATAGTACAATTGTAATAAGATAGTGGTAATTTTTGTAATATTCTTAATAAAGAGCACAAATTAATCAATACTCTTTTATCCAAAAACTTTGGCAAATCTCATAATTTCAGTCGCGCTCCATTTGTTTAGATAGAAATAAGCAAAAAAAGAAAAGATATGAAAAATGAAAGAAAAGTGAAGTGAATGAAAAGAAAAGTTATTTTCTAGCACGCATTTGGTTAGAATGAAATTTTTTCAAGAATATTGTAGGAAAATATTAATTTGTTATTATTATTTTTTTTTAGCATGAAAGTGAAAAGAAAGTGATTAAACATACCGAAATTGTGAGTTACGGGGTACAGAAGCTGTTAGTTGATTTAATTGTGATTAACTCCTTCAATGACCTAAATGAGATTATTATGTCAACTTGTCCAATTTTTGTGATTGATTAAATTACCTAAGCAATATGATCAATTAAACATCCACAATAACAAATATAAATACTGAAAAGTAAAGCAAGTAGAGTTAGAGAGATGGCACCAGGATTTTTAGCGAGGAAACCCCAATTGGTAGATAGACCAATTGTTGTGGGAAAAATCACGTGGACTGTGTAGTCCAAAGCAAAACGATCCACTATGTATGAAACAATGTATAACGGACTTTGACTTAAGCTCACACCCTATCATTCTACCAAAAATCAATTGCTGATAATCCTATGGCTTTGCGACGTTCCGTCGAATAGCTCTTGACTTCAGGCTTACTCTTGATCTCTATAGAAGGATTGCTGGTAAATCAAACAACACTCCTTGAATACTTCCAAAGTGTAATCGTTTCACCCATTTTCTTCAAGATCTGAATTTGATGTAAAAGAAATAGATCTATTTTTCAGAATCTTTGCATCTTCAATTATGCTCCAATTCCGATGAGATAGAGAACAACATAATTAAATTACTCATGTATATATGTGTGTATTCTCAAAATAAAAACAGAAAAATCAAATTTGATTTTCTGAAAAATATCTCTCAAGAGGCTTTCTCAAAATAATGAATTTTTGTTTTTAGAAGTCATATCTCAATGTTGAATGAACAAGAGATTATATAGAAGTTTGGAAAACCTAAAAATACTTGGAAACCAAGTGAATTTCATGCATAAGCTTTTAGAAGGAAGTCAATCGAAATAGATTAGGAAACTAAAGTTACCAAAATAAATCTGAAGCCTCGAACCAGTTCAGGAATTGGCTACGGATTTAAGATGGCTAGTGAAGAATCCTTATTGGCTACCAGTTCAGGAATTGGCTACCAGTTCCCAATGGACAGAATAGAAAAATTACTAAGCTTCAAAAGTTGAACATGTTCCTTGATTCTTCTACCAGTTCGAGTTGAACCTGTTCGAATATTCTCCTACCAGTTCAAGATAGACAGAATGTAAACTTCCTAAAAGCTTCAAACTTCCAAAACTTCTTAAGTGTTCTCACACACTCACATACCTTTCTAAAACATTGTTCTCATCATTTCGGAGTGTATTAAAGTATGAACACTTGAACTTCCTTAAATCCGCATCCGATCTTGAATCTTAAAATTTTAAACCTAAATTTTACAACTCGACCAGAATTGTTTTGACAACAAAATTAGCCAATTACAAAATATATATATCTCACAATCTCCCCAAAATATATATATCTCACAAAAATTACACTTATGATTTAAAATACTAAAAAATAAATAAATTTGTATTTTTATGATGTCTATTTTTAGCAAAGAGATAGTAAAATGATGGATTATTAAATTTAATAATATAATTATTTATATTTTATTTATATTTTAAATAAGACTTCATATTATTTTCTTAGGTAGAAGTAGAACAACAACAACAATGGAGATGAAAAAACTGATGACAATACTAATTTTTGAGAGATTTGATTGTATGTTGTAATTGCCAATTATATATGAACTTGTGGAAAAAAAAAAAAAAAAAAACATAGTTATTTTGATAACTTGTCTCTTTAAAAGAAGTAAAAAAAAAAATAAATAAAGAAAGAAGTTTTTCCCAATTAAGTTAATGGGTAAAATATGAATGTCAAATAAAAGGCACTTCTTTCACGTGAAAATATATTATTTTCCTGTGTTTTGTGCAAGAAAAATTTTGGGAGAAAATAGGCAAGTATGAAAAATAAATTTTTTTATTATGTTTTTTTTTTCCATCTATCCAAACAACAACAAAAAAAATTTTGAAAATTTTCTCTTGCCTTTCTAGTTGATTCTACCTAACCAATAAGCAAGAAAAGAAAAGAAATAGAAAGTGAATGAAAAATGAAGTGAATGAAAAGAAAAGAGATTTTCTAGCATGCATTTGGTTAGTATGAAAATTTATCCAAGAAAATTGTAGAAAAATATTAGTTTGTTAGTTTGGATATCATGAAAATGAAAAGAAAATAATTACGCATACCAAAACTACTCTTATGAAGTAAAATGATTGATTGTTAAATTAAAAAATATAATTGTTTATATTCATTTCTATTAGTTATATTTAGAAAAAGGCTTCATAATATTTTCTTAGGTAAAACTAACTATTAGTTTAAGATAAACAAATTTTAAAAAATTAAAAATTAGAGATGAAGAGGTAATACTACTGTTTGGAAGAAAAATCAAATATTTCACCATATATAAATATATATATATATATCCTTACAGGACTATGAGTGGCTACAATTGTAACATAGAACAGACAATTAAAAAAAAAATAAAAAATTCTACTTAGAAGCAGGATCTATTTTGAGCAGTTTTATCCAAATTATCATTGATATTATGTATATGTAACTGTATAATTTGCGTTGCGAACTTACTTCAGAAGAAAAGCTGTTTTGGAGAGAACTTACCTCAGAATAGAAGTTGTTTTGGAGAGAACGTTTAGCGGGAAAAATTTTGAGGGAAAATATTCAATGCGGGAAACTAAATTTTCCTTTAGGTTTCTCTTTCTATCTATCAAAACTCTTTAAAAGTTTAAAAATTTTCTTTCCTTTCTTTTCTAATTGTTTTCACCTAACTAAACAAAGCCTTAGAGAATTACTTGATCTTATGAAATATGAGAATTGTACACATGAGCAACTGTGCAATGTACCAATTTCAAAAGAAGATATATAATGAGGTTATCCAACTTGACAAAAGTCAAGAACTCTCTTTATTAAGGTTAAGAGAAGATTTATAATGAGGTAATCCACTTGAGAAGTTGCACGTGCTCTCTTTATTAGGGTAGAATAATATTCTTTTGAGCCAAAAGCGACAAGCTCTCTTATTTTACCTTTCAACATTATTGTTATACAAAATATGACATAAGATTAAATTATTAATATATATATATAAACTAATTAACATTATGGGATCAAACTAAAACTAGAAATTGAATAATAAACATCCACTACTTTCTACGAATAAATATTCAGCGTCCGGTGCTCGGTGCACCGAATATTTACTCGCTATATACCTTCTTGTCTTAATCTCTTATTCACCAGTTGAATGATGATAAGCGGTAGGAATAACACACAGATCTCTTTTCCTGCTAACGGCTGCACCAAATACCTCAGTCATGTCTAAATCTTCTGGCTTCTCTCCCTCAGGAAGTTTCCAGTCAAAGTGATACAACAAATTTGCAAGTGGAAGCTCAACATTAGCTAAACCGAACGACATGCCAGGACATATTCTCCTCCCAGCACCAAATGGTAGATATTGAAAATGTGTCCCCTTGTAATCAATTGAACTATCAAAGAATCTCTCTGGAACAAAGCTCTCTGGATCACTCCAATTTTCGGGATCTTTATTAATTGCAAATACATTGACAAAGACTTGAGTTTTTGCAGGTATCTCATATCCATTGATTTCAGATCTCTCTCTGCTCTCTCTTGGAACTAATAAAGGGAGAGGAGGGTGTAATCTCAGAGCTTCTTTGATAACTAACTTTAAGTAACTCAATTCATGGAGGTCATCTTCATTAAGAATGTTTCCTTTTTTACATAAAATTTGTCTCACCTCAGCTTGTGCCTTTTTCATCACTCTTGGGTTTTTCAGCATTTCTGCAATTATCCAGCCTAGAGTATTAGATGATGTCTCGATCCCACCAATGAACATGTCCTGAAAGAGCATTGCATATTGAATTTTAGTGTGTAACAATAATATCCTAAATCACTGATATTGATAGAAGTAATTTGCATGTGGGACTCAGTTCGTTCATTGATATTGATAGAAGCAGAAAGTAAATGTACTAACCAAGATGACTGACTTGACGGTTGTCATAGTTAAGGGGATCTCAAGATTACCCTCCTTCTGAAGTCTTAGAAGAACATCTACCAGGTCTTCTTGATCAGCTTCACCGTCACCGGTCTGTGCTGCCACCTTCCTAGCTTTATGTTCATCAATGATATTGGTCAACGTCCTATCAATATTCCGATGAATCTTCTCAATTCTAGGCCTCAGTCCGGTTATTAAAGCCAGCATTTTAAATGACGGATAGAGATCAGCAATATTGAGACCTCCTCCTAACTCTATGGTTTCCTTGACAAGTGATATGAATTCTTTTTGCCCGTGGAATTTCTTACCAATGGCCGCCTTTGCAGTGATGCTGTATGTCATGGAGAAAAACTTTTCAGTTAGATTGACGAGGGATCCTGTATGGGTCAAAATAGATTTGATCAAATTGGAGGTCTCTTCTTCCCTGATGGGTCGGAATGATTGGACACGCTTGACACTTAAGAGCTCTAGTATGCAAAGTTTTCGAAGTTGTCTCCAGTGATCCCCATAAGGTGCAAAGGCAATGTCATTCTCGGATATGATACTTGTAGAAAGAATAAAAGGCCTGCTAGCAAAGACGATGTCATGTTTTTTCATCACTTGTTGGGCAAATTCTGCTGAAGAAATGACAACAATAGGAAGTTGTCCAAGTTGCAGGTGCATCAGAGGTCCATGTTTCATGGCCAAATCTCTTAGGCGGCGATGGGGTATAGATCCAACAAATTGGTGAATGTTTCCAATTAGAGGCAGCTTCCACGGCCCAGGAGGCAGTTTTGGAGCTGAACTGACCTTGGCTTTCAATACCATGAACAGAAACAGCAGGAATGTGAACAGAATTGGGAAGGAGAGGAATGGGAGCTCCATCATCATCCAGATTTATGCTTGCTGTGGAGCCTTGAAGTTCTGCAATAAGATATATAAACCTTATTTATACTTTATTGCCACCTTAAATATCATCTTCTATCTGCTTCACTTGCTTCTACAATATAAGACAGATAACCTATTTTAACATATACTACATGTAAGGCAGAATATGATTTATTAGCTTGACAAATCATATAGTTTGATGGTTAGATTCAATCAACTACACAAATAAATTATCATCAAGTCATCTAATTTGTTAACTAAAGCACAGAGCAGAAATCTTATAAAAATAGTACTAGGGTTCCTTAATTGATTTGAAATTAAATTATGTGATGGAATTTAATGTATCACAATTCTGTGCAATTGCAATTTTACTGTTTGAATTAAGGTTTCATTCGAATCCCAAAATTTAGGTTTGTTGTTTGGGTAAATTATTCATTTGGGATAAATTTGAACTAATTGAAATTTCTTTACTCATCCAAAATCAAAATCAAATCAAATTAAAAGATTTGCATTATTCTTATCTGTTTACACGTCATGTAGATAGATATATGGGTCATATACATAGGCATATGTAGTTCAGACATGTCCAAAAGCAAGTCCATTCAGAAAATTTATACTCCGTACAAAGAAGTAGATTATGGGCATATAAATCATACATGTAGTATATACACCTCCATTTTCTATGGCAATATATATATATATATATATATAGAGAGAGAGAGAGAGAGAGAGATTTACAATGCTGGAGCTGAAGTTACCAGGTGTGTTTTGTATAGAGAGTCAGAAAATAAATTTAACTTCCGTCATTTTGAAACTTATAATATTTTTCAATTTGATACGGTTTGTAATAAGAGGAAATTCAATTACTCCCAAAAATAGTATTATATTAATTCAATAGGGAAAAAAGGTAAAAATTCACTAATATTCCCTCATGTTTAAAATATGTTTACAAGAAAGAAATCTAGAATTATATACCAATCTCCGTTGTCAAGCTTTAAAAGCACTAAGAATGATGATAAATTAAGGGATCCCCACTCCACTTTTTAACGTTAACATTACAATCTAAAATGAAATGATAATTCTAACTATAATTTTACAAATAAATAATTATTACTTTTTAAATGACACAACTGCCATTTCAGATTTTCTCTCTTTATCTCTAATATTTAATTTTTTAGATCTCTTTTGACAAGAACAAAAAAAAAAAAAATTGAATAATTTTTTTTGTTTCCAAGACAAAAATATATATATATTTATGTTGCATAAATTGCCTCTTTTGACCGGACAAAAAATTTAAAAAGTAACCATTACAAATTATCTCTTTTGACATGAAAAATATATATTTTGAAGAAATCATCTCCCCCACCCCTCAAAACCCAAAAAGTTAGAAAGGAAGAGGATTAAACAAAAATTTATCCCTATTGAATAAATTATCTCTTTTAATAAGACAAAAAAATAAAATAAAATAAAATGTTATTTTTTTCCAATAAATTATTTCTTTTCACAGTTGCAATAAAAATTACCAAAAAAAAAAAAAGTTACCTCTTTTGACACAAAAATAACTTTGTTGAATAAATATCTGTTTGGATTCTTAAAAAAATAATAATAAATAAATAAAAAGTCACTATGGAATAAATTATCTCTTTTGACTGCCAAAAATAAAATTATTAGTATGAAATAAATTATTTTCTTTAAGAGGACCTCTGAAGAAAATAATATATATTTAAAAAAGTAAATAAAGTAAAAAAAAAAAAAAGTTAAAGTTGTATAAAGGGTAGTTATGATATTATAAATTAAGAGATGGTGCATTAATGAATTTAATGATTTTCTTGTCATTTCCTTTAAAAGAAAAAAAACAAATGGAATAAAATTAGAGAAAAATGAAGTGTCAATATGGCCTCCCTTAAAATATTATAAAACTATAAACAAAAATAATATTATACATACTTATACTTTCAAATTTCAATTACATAATACAAATCCGCCTCCCAAAATCAAAATTCTTGACTCTGCCCTAAGGTGGCTTATGTATATTTTAAGTCTTGATACTTAAAATAAGGTGACATTTTCTTGTATGATTAGTATACCAAGGTTTTAATGAAAAATTGAAAAAAAAAAAAAAAAAAACAAAATCAAATTATCTCCCTCCGAAACTAATTTCAAAGCTCACCATTTAGCAAATTCTAGAATATGGGTCAAGACCTACCATACAAAAACGGAATCACAACTTCATACTAGACCGAAAGCAAAAATGGGGACAAAACTCAACGTCAATTTTGTCAGTTGCGCTAGAGAGTTAGACAGGAAATAAAAAATAAAAATAAAAATAAAAATGTTAGAATATATTATAAGTGGAGCTTGTACATACAAACGTTTCACTTTATTTGTGACTGGGCTAGTTATAGATCAAATTCCAAAAATATAAGTCAAAAAGTTCATATATATATATACCGTTTGGATTGGTTTGATCAATTTGATTTGTGATCGGCCACCCTGTTTATTCGGGTGGAGATGCAAACGCCTCCGGATCGGAGGTTTGGTGTGGCACCGGATCAGTATTGGGTCTAACTCTGATACCAATGGTAACATGTGAATGCTTTGCGATTTGATCCAAAAACTTAAACTATTAGGTATGACTAACCCTCAACCCATATATACTCATTTACTTTCCTATTCGAATATGATGTAGAACACTTATAACTTCTAACCTCTAGCTAGGTTTGAACTCTCAACCGAGTTAGTGATAAATTTATTTAGCTAAGAGTATTAACCTTATAGTACATTACTCTTCTTTTTTTTATAATATATATATATATATATATACATGTGTGCGTACTTCAAAAGAAATGCATGCATGTATGGGGATAAAAGGAGAGAGAGAGAGGGACTCACAGTGTTGGGAGTATAGTTCTAATGAGTTGGAGCTCTAGTTACCATGCCTCTTCCGGTGTTGAGTGGAGAAACACTGAAAAAATGATACACATAACAAAAAGCGTGAACGGAGAGAGAACTTTGCCCTGTATTTATAGAGAGAGTTTAGATAGAGAGTATACAAATTGTGCTTTTATTCTTGGATGACAAAACATACAAATTTTCTTAAAATATAATTTTATTAGTAATCTAACTCCCTATTAGTCCAGTCCAATGAAATTCTTTCTATTTTATTTATTTTTTCGTTCCTATTCTCCTTAGTAATCTAACTCCCTATTAGTCCAGTCCAATGTATGTAACTCCTGAAAATTCAGATGGAAATGTCAAAAAAAGACAACCACCTGCTCACAGCCGTAATTACAGAACTCATATATGCATCAATTATATATATATATATCACGTACGTTGCATTGTCGAAGATGATGTCAATGGCCAAGAAAATTTGAAGAGTCATAAATGCCATAAAAATTTTGTATTGACTTGTAGAAAAATCAAAGTTGCCAAATTTTGCTTGAACCCGTCAACCTGCCGGTTGTTAATAATTTTCGTTTTCAAAATTTTTTAACCTAATTATGTATATAGTCAAACTTGAGAGGATAATTTAATAAATTTAGAAGGAGACGGTATATTAATTACATATTCTTTTAAAAAGTTTTACTCTTGAATGAGACAACTAATACGTAGGGGTAGACAAATAATACATGAATTCGTAAATTTATCGGATTCATGCGAATCGGATCAAATTGCTACACCCACAGATCGATGGCGGATTCAAAGAAATTGAATCCGTAGTTCACGGATCAGCTGACGGATTGTGATGTTAAAATCCAATCTGATCTGTGAATCTAATTCTCAAGATTTATATATATATATAATGTATTAGTTAATGATAATTAGTTAATAATGGATTAGTAAATTTAATTTGTTAATGATAATTTAATGGACTGGAAGAAAGTATTAGTTAATGATTATTTAAATATATGAAATTAATGTTGATAAATTGAAATTTTATCTATTATGATATGGTTAAAAACTAAATAGTATTGGACAATTTAGAAAAAAAAAAACTTTATCCGCGGATCTGATCTGATTCGTCATTCCACAAATCCAATTGTTATTTTACGAATTGGTGATGGATTAAGATTTTTCAATCCGTTTAGAGTGGATTAGATTAAATAAACAATTAACCAATAATTATAAAATTAGGCTAATTGAAACGTACTTCAACCGCCACCCTGAGTATCATCTTTTTCTCTCCAAGAGCAAACAAAAAAGTCAGTGATGGTAAGAGCTCGGCGCTTGCACTCATCAGGCCAGTGTTCGAACCTCTCAAGCCTTCTATGTTCTCGACTCATCCGGTGTGTGGCTATGGGGCCGTGCTACATTACCCCCAGTTTGACACCATGGAATGGGGTACCTAAGGGACCTTGTTTCAGAAGATCTGGGTCATCATAAAAAATAAATAAATAAATAAATAAAATAATAAATAAAAATAAAAAGGTCAGTATCTCTGGACGTACGCGCGCGCGCGCGCACACTCTAAAATGCTAACTCCACATATCAAGTGTCCCCTCGAATTATGGGTCCCACAAGATACAATCCGACTCAACTAATTTTCAGTGCTTCCGTCTGACAGTGGACTTGACTCAACTTTAAAAATGTTAGATGGATGAGATGGAAAAGTTGAGCAGTGTTTAATTTACTTTTGGAGCTTTTAAGATGCATTATTGCATTCATGATATATTATTAGATGTCTTGTATACATAGGGTTAAAACCTTGAGTAACCTTCGGTGGAGGCTTTGTCTGTTATTTTTAATGATGTTTAAAGTTTGCTTAGTGTCTGTAAAGGTTCTTCCTTAGCATGGGTGCCTAGGAATGGAAATTGTGTAGCTCATATTGTGAGCAAAATGGCCTTGGTGGCTGAATGTGGTGATCTTGATTGGGTTGTCTGGCCTGAGCGGCTATTAGATGCCTTTACTCTTGATTATGTTCCTTCTTCTGTTTTATGAATTGGTACTCTGGTTTGGTAAAAAAAAAAAAATCCCTTGAATTAGTCTCGGAAAGAAAAAATAATAATAATAAAACTTTTGACTTATTTTCCGAATCTTTAACCACAGTAATATTTTATTCATACTTCTTCAATTTTCAAAATGTTGAATGGTCTGTTCAACATTTTTGAGCTATGTACGAATTGACTAATAATATATGTATTGTTACAAATGTTTTCACAAAGAAAATTGTTATAATATATTTTTCATATATATATGTTTTTTCTTTTATTTAATAAAAAATGATAGAAGAGGCAATTTTTTTGAAAAAGTTGATCAATAAGAAGAGCTTATGGCTCTTGTACCATGGCTCCTTTTTGGGTTTGTGTGTGTTGTTTAACTGTTTTAGAGGCCTATTTAACTTAATCAAAGATCTAAGCTTTTGAGATCAAAACACCTTAAAACTTTGATGTAAAAACACCAATAAGTGAAGTCTTCCCTTTATTCAATAATCTATAAGATTCCACACAATTTCTGCTCTTATTTTACCTTTCAACATTGTTATATATATATATATATATATATATATATATATATATATTATAACATACGATTACATTCTTAATATATAACTAATTAACATTCCAGGCTCACACTGAAACTAAAAATTCCATCCAATACTTTCTACCTTCTTGTCTTAATATCTTATTCACCAGCTGAAGGATGATAAGCAATAGGAATCACACACAAATCTCTTTTCCTATTAACCGTTGCACCAAAAACCTCATCCATGTCAAGATCCTGTCCCTCGGGAAGTTTCCAGTCAAAGTGATACAATAAATTTGCAAGCGCAAGCTCAACATTAGCAATCCCGAACGATATGCCAGGACACATTCTCCTTCCAGCACCAAATGGTAGATATTGAAAATGAGTCCCCTTGTAATCAACTGAACTGTCAATGAACCTCTCTGGAAGAAAGCTCTCTGGATCACTCCAATTTTCAGGATCAATACTAATCATCCATACATTAACCAGTACTTGAGTTTTTACAGGTATCTCATATCCATCGATTTCACATCTCTCTCTACTCTCTCTTGGAACTAATAAAGGGATAGCAGGGTGTACTCTCAAAGTTTCTTTGATAACTAACTTTAAGTAACTCAATTCATGGATGTCTTCTTGATTAATAATATTTCCTTTTTTACATAAAACATGTCTAACCTCAGCTTGTGCTTTTTCCATAACTCTTGGGTTTTTCAGCAATTCTGACATTGTCCATACTAAAGTTGTAGATGATGTGTCAATCCCGGCAATGAACATGTCCTGGAAGAGCATTGAAATTGAGTTAAAAAATAATTTGTGGAAGTTAATTCATTGATATTGATAGAAGTAGAAAGTAAATGTACTAACCATGATAGTACACTTGATGTCTGTCATACTTAAGGGGATCCCAAGATTACCCTCCTTCTGAAGTCTTAGAAGAACATCTACCAGGTCTTCACGATCAGCTTCACCGTCACCGGTCTGTGTTGACACCTTCCTAGCTTTATGTTCATCAATGATGTTGGTCAACACCCTATCAAGTTTTTAATGCATCTTCTCGAGTCTAGGCTTCAGCCCACTTATCCAAGCAAGCATTTTAATTGAAGGAAAGAGATCAGCAACATTGAAACCTCCTGTTTTCTCTATGGTTTCCTTGATAAGTGCTATGAATTCTTCTTGCCCATGGACTGTCGAACCAATGGCCGCCTTTGCAATGATGCCGCATGTCAACGAGGAAAGCTTTTCACTGAGATTCATCAGAGATCCTGAATGCATCGAAATGGATTTGATGAAATTTGTTGTCTCTTCTTCCCTGATGGGTCGGAATGATTGGACACGTTTGGCACTTAAAAGCTCCAGTATGCAAATTTTCCGAATTTGTCTCCAGAAATCCCCATAAGGTTAAAAGGCAATGCCTTTCTCAGATAAGATATTTACAGCAAGATTAAAAGGCCTGCTAGCAAAGATTATGTCATGTGTTTTCATCACCTCTTTCGCAATCTCTACCGAAGAAATGACAGCGATAGAAACTTGTCCAAGTCGCAGGTACATCAGAGGTCCATGTTTCATGGCCAAATCTCTTAGGCAGCGATGGGGTAGAGATCCAACAAATTGGTGAATGTTTCCTATTATAGGTAGCTTCCATGGCCCAGGAGGCAGTTTTGGAGTTGAACTGGTCTTGGTTTTAGATACTATTTTCAATACCATGAACAGAAAGAGCAGGAATGTGAAAAGAATTGGGAAGGAGAGGGACGGGAACTCCATCATCAATTGTAGCGCCGCGCTCGAGAATTCACTTGTCTCAGCGATATGATTGCTTTTCATCCAGATTTCTGCTTGCTGTGGAGCCTTGAAGTTCTGCAACATCCTACAATTTTCAGTTTTCTTTTCTAGTTTGTATATATGCATGGTTCCTTTGTTTTATGAATAAAGATGCTTCAAGTTATTTCCATCATTTGACACAATTATATATCTAAAATGTTAACCATTGAATCAATTAAAGACATTTAGATACATGTTACAAATGAAGCATGTATGAACAGGTGAATCAGACCTTATGACAAGATTCTGCAATGTCTTTCAGACATTTTTGACACATCCACCTTCAAATATGACAGATAAACCTTATTTATATTTCATATCCTCCTTCAAATATAATCTTCTATCTGCATATATCCACTTGCTTCTACTATGTTTATTTTAGTTTAGTTACTAGTAAGTTGCTAACACAAACTAGGGCATATAGCTAATTACTAGTAAGTTCTATTTTAATTACTAGTAAATTGCTAACACAAATTAGGGATGTATATTCCTTTTCTAACCCTAACACTCACAGCCACAAATACAAAATCCTACTCTGCCTCCTCCCCTGTTTCTTCTCCTTATATGACAGTCAAAATCAACCCCTGAATCCTCGTGGATATTCCGGATGTTAGTATCTTTATGCATTTTTTACTTCTCAAAAGCTCAGCAAGAAATCGAATTCAAATGTTTATAACACAACTAATCTTCATGCAACTAAATAAAACACACAAAAAAGGTGAATCACATATGAAGACTTTTCAGACCACTTCATTGAAAGTTTTCTAATTAACATATAAATTATTTCTAAAATGACGAAATGTTATATGCAAATTAGGAAGAAAACGGGGAAGAGAGTGATTACTTAAGACCATGAATAGTTACAATAAACGCGGAAACGAAAAACTAAGAATTAACAGCAGAAGAAGGAAAATCAAACACCACATAGAATATAAAAAGATTTAGGGTTACCGTGAGGTTTGGTTTATTAACACCTAGATGAACGTTTGAAATTTAACCCAAACAGGCCTTAGATGGAAAAAGACAAAATTACCCTTCAATAAAATATTAAGTTTTGATCTAAAGTATTTAAATGGCAAAATTACCCTTTTAGCATTATTACCACATTTCTGTGTGTGTTCAAACCCAGAAATCTGCAACTCTCTCTCTACCCTTTCACTTCCGTGAGAAACCCCCCACCACCACCACTTCCACCATTTCACACATGGAACCAACTATTTTTAGACTAATAAATCAAGCACAACAACCACTTAACAGTCCCGCCACACCCGCCACCACCACTTTATAGCCCCGCCACCATCACTTCACATTCCCACCTCTCATACCTCTATATATTTATGTGTGTGTATATCTATATCTATATCTATATACTATTATTAAATATGAAAAGAGTTTCAGTATTTCAGTATTTATTACCTAATAAAATCGATGACAATAAAATATTTATTAATTGATATAAAAAGAATAAACATTTTTTATGAATAATTATCACAATATAATACGCACAGCCAGTTATGATTATGTCATTATCATGAGAAGTCACATGTTATCTTCCTATTAATCCAAAAAGTCTATAAATAGAAGCATGGAGGAAAGAGGAAGTTGTACAGAAATTGATAATTCAAGAAATTTAGAATTCCAGAATAAAATAGAGAATCTCTGCCAAAGAGTTTCAGTATTTATTTATTTATATAAAAAAATATTTATTAATTGATATGAAAACAGTTTTTATAGAATATAAAAAAAAAAACTCTATAAAACTCTAAAATCTACCTAATAAAATTCAAATTAACCAATTTATCTATTTATTATTATTAATTTTTAACAAAATAAAATATAATTAGACAAAAATTATTAATATATAAAATATTTATTAATTAATATATAAAATAAAATAATTTTTATAAAACTCAACCACAAATTAGCTTTTATTATGAGTTTCTTAGTAAAATGAAATCTAATTAGACAATGATATATTTAAAGAAAATAAAATAATTTCTATAAAAACTCTATCACAAATTATTTATTTTATTTTCAATAAAACTCTATCACATTTGACAAAGATATATTTAAAGAGTTTCTATAAAACTCTAACAAAAATTACTTATTTATCTATTTATTATGACTTTTTTAATAAAAGGAAATCTAATTAGACAAGTATTATTAATATAAAAATTTATTTATTAATTGATATAAAAAGAGATTTTTAGAGAGTTTCTATAAACTCTAACACAAATTAACTATTTATCTATTTATTATGAGTTTTTTAATAAAATAAAAAAAAATCTAATTAGACAAGAATTATTAATATGAAAAATATTTATTAATTGATATAAAAAAAGTTTTTAAAAGAGTTTGTATTGAACTCTAATACAAATTAACTATTTATTTATTTATTATGAGTTTTTTAAATAAAAAATATATATAATTAGACATGAATTATTATTATAAAATATTTTTTAATTGATATAAAAAATAAAATAATTTTTTAAAAACTCGACCACAAATTATTTTTTATTATGAGTTTTGTTTTAATAAAAGGTAATCTAATTTGGCAAGAATTATTAATATATAAAAATATTTACTAATTCATATAAAAAGAGTTTTTTAATGATTTTTTATAAAACTCTAACACATATTATTTATTTATCTATTTATTATGAGTTTTTTAATAAAAGAAAATATAATTAAACAATAATATATTTAAAGAAAATAAAAAAAATTATATTAAATTTGCCAGAAATTAGCTTCTTCTTTTTTTCTTTTCTATAATACTCTATCACATTATCTATTTATTATGAGTTTTTTAATAAAATAAAATCTAATTAGACAAGAATATATTTAAACAAAATAAACAAGCTTCAAATCAACAATTTAAAATATATATATATAAAAACAAAAATTTTATAAGTTACAAAATATTCACCACGTATATTACCCGTGCCTTTTCCTAATATATATATATATATATATATATATATGAAAAAAAAAACCCATCAGATTCACAGCAAAGGGCATTTAAAATGAAATTAAAAAAAACTCTCCTCCTATTCAATTTGAAGAGTAAAATATCTAAAATGCCCCTAGAATGAAATAAAAATAAAAAACACTTGATTTTAAAATTTTGATATTTTATAAATAAATAAATAAATAATGTGGGATTTTATAAAAATTTGGGGTTCTTAGAAAAATAATTTCTCTTCTTGGCTTGTCCAGTTTTTGCGACGAAGTATATTCTGATTCAGTCTTTGTCCGATAGAGACTTTTTGAGTGTTGAATCATTTTGTTAAGAGAGATAGGTCAGCAGTTCAACCAGTAAACTTGACAGGATTTTTGGAGTTTTTATAAAAAATTAAATACTAAAATACCTAAAATGCCCTCAAGAGTGTTTTCAGATTTTTATATAAAAAATAAAAAATAGTCAGAAGTAAGGACATTTTGGTACAAAATATTAAATTATAGGAATTTATATGCACATTCTAAATAACACGCATGTTTTTTACACAATAAGAATAATAATTACTACTTATAAGAAAATGCATGCGCGTACCCCCCGCGCGCGCGCGAGAGAGAGAGAGAGAGAGAGAGAGAGAGAGAGAGACTTACAGAGTTGGGAATATAGCTCTAATGAGTAGCCATGTCTCTTCATTGTAGAGTGGAGAAACAGAGTAAAATGAAACATATAACCATGTCTGTGAATTAGAGAGAACTAATGTAATAGAAAAACTTTTGGTCTACAAAATAAGAATAAGAATAAGGCGGTGGTCGTTGTTATTATGAGTCCCTGTCCAATCCATAGAAAAACTTATGGTCTACAAAATAAGAGAGAGACTTACAGAGTTGGAAAATGCATCCACGAGTCTTGAAAGTCGTTCAGTTTGGTTAATGTTCAACAAAATACAACAACGTGCCAGAAAAATATTATTATTATTATAATTTTTCTTTCTCAAAAAAAAATTATTGAACCACCAAATTCTATGTATCTTACTTAAGTTGCATTGCTGAAGATAATATTGTATTATTGTTGATCAATAAAATGTTTGTTGTTGTGTTGTTACTATTTACCGAAAAAATAGAAAATGTAGTTGCTTACAAAGACTTTTCTTCAATTACACAACTCAACAAGGTCATTTGTGGGTTCCACTAATGATTCATTTTAGGAGGGCAACTTGGAGCTATGTTACTCTCCTTGCACTTAATTCTCTTGTCTTATTTGGGCCTTAGTTATTAGGCCAATTCTAATACTAAAAGTTATTTTGGTATGTCAAATTTATATTTTGACATGTGTTACAGTGTTAAAATCTTACATTTTAATAATTTTATTCTAATGATGCACTTCATGCAAAATGTTACTTTTTAACGCAACCACCATTCTTTTTCAACTACCATTCCCACTATTCATATATGCATTAGTAATATCAATATTAGGCACATTTCAAGTCAAGTTGTAAACACTAGAAGGAAACTAAAATTAAATCTAATTAAAAAAAAGAAAATATCTAAAATATCTAGTCAAAAAAGAACCAAATATATATATATATGTATGTATAAATTTATATATTTGATTATATTATTATATATAAAAAAAATTTATATAATTTTTTTTTCTTTTTCGAAAATTTGTATATATTATATTTATATGTATATTATATATATTTGATTATATTATTATTAAAAATATATATATCTTTGGGACAAATCATTTTAGCCTCCCCAATCGCGTCCATCTCTATTCTCGTTCTCAACTCTGAAATTCCCTACCCCTCCCCCCCCCCCCCCCCCCCTCCCCTATCTCTCTCTCTGTGCAACTGCAAACTACAAAATTAACAAGAATCAGAAGTTCAAAACCCATATCTTTTAGTTTCCTTCGCCCGCTGTTCCAGTTCGGGTTCGCCGTTCGCAAGCTTCAGAAAGTCTAATTTTAAACAATTCAATCCAATACATAGCAAAATCACATGTAAGATGTAAAATCTTATCTACCACCTGCTCAAAAATAGAACTAGGGTTCCTTAATCGATTTAAAATTAAATTATATGATGGAATTT